CTTTTTTTAGACCGTTGAAGTCAAACCTCAGGCTGGATAAAATACGAATGGAGTGTTATTGGGCGACTGTAGCAACACCCTCAAAAATATTTTTTTTCTGTTTTGTTTTCCCTTTTCCCGTCGAGTCATACAAATCCGCAAAGTAATTGAATGTTTTGTCAATATGAAGAGCGATGAAAGCCTCAGGAATTCTTTCTCAAGTGCGCGTTCGTAAGCGGCGAGATGTTGGTCGTCCACTTGTTCCCACAGCGAACTCCTTCAAACATGAGGGTGACCCGATATTCTCATGTCCCAAAAGCAAGACGAAATATTACTCCACTTTCAACAGGAAATAACTGACGATAGTTGTTCGAGTAAAGAGACTTTTCCATTAAAATATGCTTTCGGGTTAAAACAGCCCTAAATAAGTGCTGTTTGAGTGAAAGTACCTTCTTTCTTGGCCAGGCTTTAAATTTTGCTCGCTCTTGGTAATGGACTAATGATCGGAGGCAAATGGAGATTTGCGACGAACTTTTCCCTAATTGAGTTTTTGTTGCCGCAGATTAGAAGCTTTAAAAATGTTGCCTTTGTTTTCTACCCCGAATACCGTTCAACTTCCCCGTTCGATCAACAAAATCGCCAAACCTTCTCCCTTGTAAATGAAGGAAATGAAAAGGCAACATTTTTCGATTACAAGGCGTCGAGTTTCCTCGCTTATGGCCTCAAATCAATTTTTTTTTTCTTTTCAGTCATCAGAGTGATGTATATGCTATATGTCATAAAATAATCACTTCCATTTTGTTTTATTCTAATGCATTTAGAGCAAAGCAAATTTTAATCCATGAACCACCAATCGAAACAGTGTAGCTCGAAATTTAATTGACAATCTAAGAAAAATTACATGCAGCTGTTGTTTAGCAAGTAAAATAAGCTTGTCAAAATTGCCTAAGCTTGTATTTTGATGTATAAATCTTGATTAAAGGAAATTAATGGGAATGGAGCGAATTTAGCTCCATAAATAAACATAATAACCATAATATGAAGCGTTATCGTTTCTTATTTTTAAAACGCCCGTATACATGTAACTCGGCAATCGCGCTTGTCATCGATATGATTTCAAATCAAGAGAAACGAGCGATTGTAAATAAATGTTTTGTATACTCTAGTACGTTTACTGTGAAAAGTGCCAGAGAAACTGAGAAAACTCCTGTTAAAGGTAGTTAAAGGGGCTAGCACGGCTCTGGCCAATTGGACATAGAAGGGCTTTAATTTTTAGAAGAATGTAAACGAAACACAGACAACTTATCACAAAGGGGTACTGGATGTACACAGAAGCATATCACCTATTCAAGGTGATTTGCTTCTGATGTACAATATTGGGGAGATTAAAACAGATTCCATTCGGGTGAGCGTGAAAAACGTCGGCCGACTTTTTTCTTAAGGTTGTCTTAATTTGTATGGAAATGTCATTTGTAATATTCAGAAATAATCCTTGTTTGCTATAGTTTCTAATGTGGAATCACTTGGCCAGATATAAACGCGCTTAACACTCTACGTACCTGTAGTATACATTCTTGGGCCGATTGTAAACGAAACTGAGAAAACCAAAATCTTGGCCTTTCGGTCACAGGTATTGCCAGAGCTCTTGATATAAGATAACCCACGCAGCATAACAAACAAAAAATACCTCAACACGGAATTGTCTAGTGTTAATGGTCGTTTGGTTTGCGTGAACATAGTGCGTAGGCAAGTGAAGTTGAAGGGGGAAACAGTTAATCCCCAATAAAGGCCTTATTCACTAGGTAATCCTTCAACTTATTTATAGATCACTAACAGTTGGAAATCCCAGAAGGATCTATAAATAGCCTATTCTTTGACGCGGATTTAGCTCAGGCGGACAGCCAAGGCAGCTTCAACCTGCACGAAAACATGAAACGCGCCACAAGTCCGTCTTCGGTGTTCAGTTGATTTTATGGACGTTGAAGACGATCTAAAAGCAATGATACCAACATATGGAAAATGTCGGCGTGCAGAGGAGTAGGGTGGGGGTGTTTTTCGACAACGATTCACTGCTGCGAAGGAGCTCTTAAAACGCCTACATAAACATGGGAAATTTCGATTTTACCTGAAAATGCAGATTGTGAAAACATTGATAAGTTTTGAAAGAGAAAAAATAATATATCTCAGGAGAGTGGAGTTTTAGTGGGACAAAGATGGCACCTAGGAATACGTAAATCTGAAAAACGTTAAATAAAATTAAATAGCAAGAAATGAAGTAATAATCAAAATTTCAGCGGAGGATATTAGCCCCGTTGCCGTTATGTTCACCAGCCGGTTTTGATTTCCATTTTAAAATCGAGCGAATCATCAAACTAAAGACGGCGTGACACCCAGGGAACAAGGTGAGATGGAAGGAGGGAAATGAATGCAACACAATATTTTATTTAACGGGGAACAAACGCTTAGCTTTATAGTTTACAGATATGCCACGAGAAATAAATAAATAAATAAATAAATAAGAGGAAAATATGTAGTAAAAATATATAAACCTATTTACAGTTAAAAATAAAGTTATCACAGAAAAAGAACCATTCACAGGATAAGAAAACAATTCGTGGATGCTACGTTGTCTAAAGTATTGACTAATAAAGGTGTCGTGGTTATTTATATCACTGAGATAATTGATATACTGCTTTGTTTTAGATCGGGTCCTCCTCGCCGCGGGTGATACAGAGGCTGCATAAAAACAACTGGTCTTTACCACACTTAATAGTACCAAAGCAAACAAAGCAAAAAACTCTGGTTTTCTGTGCATAGTAGCCAGCGATTAATTTAGATACAAAGTTCGTGTTTTGTCATCTAAGTCAGTCACCTTTTTTAAATTTCCCAGGACAAACAGAATAGGAAAATGGTTGGTGAGCCAAGCATTTCGATGAAAAAGGTCCCATATCAATTACGTTCAGTGTTGTGCCTATCATAAGTTACTTGTTACACTGGCGAACAAGTCGACGTAGAGAGTGACCTAGTTGCAGTTATGGTTGTATGTCAATTTAATTCTACCCTAGTTGTTCATTTTGTAAATAAGAAAATTTTCCTAATAGTTAGAAAGAAAAGTTATAAATTCTCATCGTACCAAGTTTTAAAAGAAGAAATTGGAGCATTCAGAATCAGCAAGCCGGTTGGGTGTGGTTGGCAAGGTTCAATAACTGACTACTTAACAGTATTGTGCTGGATCTATCAGTTGAGGAAATTCGAGCGATAATTTGTGTGTGCTTATATGAAGGATGTCCTGCCCGAAGATAAGCGGAAAGCCCACAAAATGAATTGCCGGGCCCGCAAGAAAAACACTCCGAACAAAGGTTGATTTGCTCCTCTACTGGGCTGGGTTGTTCAAGAGCCGGTTGATGTTAGCCCAGGAGTCAAAGTGAACCGAAGTATTAATTTTCCTTGAACAAAAACTATTTTCACTGCTTATCTTCTGGTCTCTTTCGTGTAGTTAGAGATTATTCCAACTCAAACCCGAGGGTCAAACAATATAAACAGAAAACCTCACTGAGAAGTTATAAAAATGAAATCAAAATTCTCGCAAATCCTAGGGTTCGCTTAATCGGGCTTTGCCCTGGAGTGCAAATTTTCTTGTCATTGTACATTTTAACCAATCACTGAACGACTATCTCATACTCTGTGCCGGAAAACTCGTTATGGACTGGCACGTGAAGATATAACTTAACTGTATTTATGTTTAGTTTCATTACCTATAATATATGACTCTCATAGCTTCAGCCGGAATTGAAAATCGGAAACAACAAAATACTCGCCGATCCTGCGTTGTCGATCTCCTACAGAAGGAAATGAAAATGTTTTGGCATGAAACATGAGATATTTTTTTCTTTGCGTAATACCGACACAGATCGAATCCCACGATCAAACTGTTCCTTTCAATGTGAGCCTTTCTAGGACCTCGTTCTCTCATTTCGTTGAAGGGAAATTAAAATGGGCCCATTTAGACATCAAAGCTATTTACAGGATCATGTCCTGCACTGCGGTTCGGATTGGCTTTTTCTCGGCACGAATTGACAATGAAGAGCGTATAAAGCATTTTTATGTTAACAAATCTAATGAAGAACCAAGGCAGGTGTTTAGAAGCAAAGAAATTATTCAGAATAGCCAAAAAGTGTTATTCTTTTACATGGTAATAAAGCTAGACTAAAGCGAAATCTAATTTTGATTTAAATTTTTACAGAGTTTTCAATAGCAATGCGAACTTCAAAGCATCCCGAGTTCGATTATGAATTTATGACTTTGCTCATTAGAACCAGTTCGATTTCGCAAACATTAGTAATGGCGAATGTTTACGTAAAATATCCGCGAAATTGAAAATTTATTCCATTTTGTTCACGTTTCGCGCAAATAATGGCTTGTTTGATCAACTTGTTCGCTTCATCTGCTTATCAAGACAACTAAGTTCATTGGTGGGTCTGTAAGATAAACATCACTGACTCCTTTAACAAACTCTCTGGAAATTAAAAAGAAGATACATGGCTCCGTCGAAAGATCGATTCTTAAATTCATAGAAAACACAACATCCGTTTGACACCGAGATCACATTTAGGGAATTGTGAAATACGGGGTAATATAAACTCAGGTAAGTTATATTTATATTTTGACAGTTGAATATTTGATCTCAACTCTTGTATTGGACGTTTTAAACCAATAGAAGCAACAGGAGATAAAACCAATATAGATTCATATTTAGTTTACGATATTAAACATAGAGCTTACCAAGTTTTTCCAAGCTCATTCAAGATGGCAGTCATTCAGTCGAAAACCTTACGACTTAAGCTTCGTTAGCAATCGTCCGTTAGCCCGCGGTGATATATTTTCAGCGCCGGTTCGAAGGGCTTTTAAAGCTTGGAATAACAGCTTTCTGGCATGGTGCTAATTATAAGTGCGAACGATATACTGATCTCGCGAAAAGATCGTTTGGTGCATGAAATGAAATATTCATGGAGTAAAAGCTAATAAACGGGGTATTTTCATCTAAAACAAGTACACTCGGCTTTTGAATACCAGCCAGATGTTTTTTCAACATTCATTTTGTCAAAACCTCCGTTGGGGGGCTAGCAGCTTCCTCTGGGATATTTCTTTATTAGCCAAAACTATCTTTTCTCTTCTCTTTTCCTTTCAGGGAAAGCATCGCATTTATACTGGTCCACAAGCGTAAGATATAATGGTGTTATGATAGACAGAATTCTTTCTTGACAGCTGTCAAAACGAAGGCGGGTTATGCTACTTGTAAACCTGGCTCTATTTTTTGCATAAATTGCTACGAGTCGTAAGTGTTGTAGAAAACTTTTAGTAATGAGAGGAAGCAATAAAAGGCTTTTTTTATCTTTTGAGCTTGCCAAAGCATTTAACCAACGGGAAAGAACTAACAGGCGATAAAAAAGAAAGATCTATTTTTTTTCCTGCTATTTACAGAAGTTAAACGTCCTGCTATCAAATATATTTATATCTTTCCTTTTACCGAAGATAGTTCAGGCACATCGTGTATGGCGTCGAATTTTCAGTCATCAAACGAATCAAGAAAACATTGGCTAGATTCAGGAAATCTTTTGGGAGAGGAAAGTAAAAAAAGACAGAAGCAAATAACAAAAACAATACCCTTGCAAAAGTTGCAAGCGAAAGTCCGGTGTGCTATTCTTTCAAAAGCCCACGCAGTAGAATTTACGTTGAAGAAAGACATGTTCTAAAAAAAGAGTGCCCACAAAATTCACATGATTTTTCCCTTTCCGGTGAAAACTCCTCACTGAAAAACAGTGTCAAACTCTTTAACGGTAAAGGTGCTTTTCTTTTTCTCTTAGATGTGTTCCACTTGTACACAATAAAATTGGCCGGGCCAGGCATGACTGAACTGACGGTTCTTTTGTTTCACCTCAGCATCTGATTCCCAAGACACCTAATGTTACACCTACCTTTAGTTATCTAGTCCTTTTCTAAGTATTCCGCTTGAAGCAGACAAATCCGGTCTGTAAGAACAGCAAATTGACTGAGAAATTTCCATTTTTGGCCTTTTAAGAACTTTAAACAAACACCGTCGAAAGCGACACGCTTGATAAGTGGCGTTTTCAAAAGCTCGACAGTAAACTGCAGTTCCCATTGGCTAACAGATCTGGTATAAACCAGTCTCACTTATGACATTCAGATAATGGAGATTTTAATGGCCAAGCAAGTGATCCGGAAAGTAGGAAATTTGGTGCCCTCTTTTATGGATGAAAATATACTCAATTATCGCCGCCGGGACAAATTGACTTTCCGCGAATGAATCTCGCATCCCAACCATCTGCTCACGCGATTATGATGTCCCTTGACCCAAAATGAAATTTATCCCCAAACTGACTTTTGTCAAATGAGCGTTTGATTGACTGGTCATTTCGACTTGTTTTGCTCGAGTTTTAATAGTGGACTGACATATGTGCTGATTATAGATATCCCGGTAGCTCAGGTCAAACCCCCTTGACTTAAAGTGCAGTGAAGTTCAGAAAAAATACTTATTTCAGATATTCTGTTTGTCGGTTCATTTCCCTTCGTTTAACAGATGTGATGACGTTGCAATTGTGTTCTCTTGTTCAAGGAAAAAATGGTATTCTGACTAGCTGTCAATTTTTCAAGTTTGGCAAGCACCCGGCACCGAGGAAAAAGACATATAAACACACGACTGATTCTCGACTTTGTCACGCTGCTTTCGGGCGAAGGATCAACTCGCCTGAAAAAAAAACGGTGATCTAGGAAAGTCTTGTTTAGCAAGTCTATGAAGTCAAGTGGCCCGGTTGAAGCAGCACTCACTGTCACACACAAGTCTGCCAATCACCAAGGACACAGACAACCCAGTAAATCAATCAAAACTTAAGGTAAGTACATGCACGTAGCTGACGCCAAGCGCGGGACAACGAGCGCGAGCGAATCACGATTGATTAGAGGCGTAATTGGCTTATAGAGTGGAGCGAGCTTTTAAGCCAAAGAAAATGCGAATTAGTTTCTGCACTCAAGTGAAAACCACTTTAAGTAAGAAAGAAGACACTCTTTTTTTGAACTCATTTAAATACTATTAACTAACTCGGATCCAAGCGGTAAGTCTCTTTGTATTGTTGTCAAAATTTATTGTACTTTCAGTTAGTCATTGTTATGGGTTATAATACTTTTGAAATGTCATAGTTTGCATGGGGCATACTTAACTGAATTGATGCTTAATAACTAATAAATATGAGACTTTCGCTCGAAATTGTTCAATAAAATAAAGGACAAATATAATATTTAAGAAATAGAACACATCTCTCAACTATATTAAAGTGCCTATGAACTGAAAAATAATTGCTGCCTATTTGGAAGGCTTTTCAAAATACAGAAGAATAGCTTTTTTGTTTTTGAAATATCTGTCTTCGTTTTAGAGATATTGACGTTCTGTATTACGCAAATTAGGAAAGTGATGACGTCATCACTTCAAAATCAATCAAAAATCATTAGTTGTGCAGCTAACACGGTAAAATATTGACCAAAGAATATCTCTAGAAATATTGGAGCAGTGTTCGTAAAAATTGGCACCAGTAATTTACATCACAAAAGAAATCAAATGACCCCGGAGTGCCGTTGCCATGGCAACTCTCTTGGCTCCAGATTCTTTCTGTCAAAAACCAAACATCCCCATTTGCAACCCTTTAAAGTAAGACAGAGGATCCTACTCGGAACACACATGGTTCCCATATCAGGTAAACTCTCCTCATTAGATTGCTGGGAGTAGATGATCCTTGTTTAAGACAAAAACTGGGAATTTCAGTTTTAACTAAGACGGGACCAGTGACAAAGTTGTTGCCCTGGCAACATGACAACAGGTGTCATTTTGTTTCTTTTGTGATGCACATTTCTGGTGTCCATTGCGCGCGTTTGGCCATCTTGTTGCGAGGTGTGGCGACATGTTGGGAGTCGAAAATCGAACTACTGCGCATGTCCTGGCGCAACATTGTTGCACGAACCTAGCCAAGCGACCACAGCTTCATGTAGCATCCACAAATGTTGCGTGAAAAATTTGATCATTTTTAAATTTGAGCCAACAACACCCAACATGTCACAACACGTCACAACAGGTTGGCCAAACGCGCGCAAAATGTTGCGCCCAAAAATGTTGCGATATGTTGCGTTGAAATGTTGCGATCGTTTGGCAGGGGCTTTGAATTTGAAACTGGTCAAATTTTTCATGCAACATTTTTGGATGTTGCACGATGTTGTAGTCGTTTGGCCACGTTCGTGCAACAATGTTGCACCCGGGCTTGCGCACTAGCTCGAGTTTCAATACCCAACATGTCGCACCACGTCGCAACAGGGTGGTCAAACGCGCGCAACATGTTGCGCCCAACAATGTTGCGATATGTTGTGCTGAAATGTTGCGATCGTTTGGCCGGAGCTTGCAAATGCTGGGCCAACAATGCTGCGATAGGTTGTGTTGATATGTTGCGATCGTTTGGCCGGGGCTTCAAACTTGAGCTAACAACACGCAACATTTCGCAACACGTCGCAACAGGGTGGCCAAATGCGCGCGACATGTTACGCCCAACAATGCTGCGATATGATGCGTTGAAATGTTGCGATCGTTTGGCCAGGGCTTTAAACTGCTTGGGCTTCCGTGGTTCTATCGAGTTTTACTTAGATTCTACTAGTATGATACTAACTCAAATGCTGCATTCTGATTGGCTGAGCTACCGTACACAATCAGCTATTATAGTTCACCACAAAATTATAGTTCATCACAAAATTTTCTCCAATTTTTATTGGTTTAAATTGATCACGTGAAGCGTTAGCGTTCATCTGTGGAGAGACACTATCTACCCATAGTGCCCGTCCGAAGAAAATACCCGGATGAATAGCACTCGTCCCTGAAAGTGTTTCTGTAAAACAGCGGGCTCATAAAAAAAAAATTGAAAGACGCAAGTTGTTGTAATAAGACTGGCTATTTTATATCTTCTTTCACGCCTTTCATCTAAAAGAGTTGAAAATAATTCAATATGATTTTTGAACTGGCACGCGAAAGAAAATTTAGTGGTGAAGAATAAAGACAATAGAATGTTTATGTCTCGGAACTATGGGTCTGATAGTTGCCCCTTGGAAATTTGATGTTCTCCAGTAAAACTAGCATATTTGTTCTCCAAGCTTCGCTTCTCGGGCAAATATTTGTTTTAAGAACATCAAATTTCCAAGAGGCAACTTTCAGCCAATAGTTCCTTAGGTAAGTCTCACCTTAATCTTCTCTTGGCACTACTTCGTCTACAGCAATTAAGTTATTCACTCTCGATTTCTATGAGTTGATAGTTGATTCTGCTTTGTTGCAGTATGTTTTCAAATACAGTTATGCAAAGTTTATAATGCAAACCTGATAGTCTTTGTTTTCATTTCAACTGGACTGTTACGACTGCCCAACATTACACTTGTTACAATTTTATTCAGCCTTTTAAGGCTTTCAGCAAAACATAAAATATATACAATTTGGTTGGGGTTTGGCCCATAAAATTATCGTTAAAATTAGTGATAGAATCCTAGAAACAATCGTGGCAGTGGATATATAATTCTAGGAGAAGACTTCTTTTTTTGTTTGTTTGCTTATTTGTGTTTTTTTTCTCTGTCTCTCTTTTGGGTTGCAAGCCTAACGTAGGAAAAAAGGATGACTTATTTCAAATCATAAGTCAGCAAGAAACGGTCAAGCGGTGGAGAGGGCGACAGAGCTTTTACGGTAGTCGTGCAAATATTACAAGCAGCACGGCTCCTTGGACGATTGATCATCGAGAATTCTTAGATTTCCGTGTACAGAATTGATCAGCTAACCTAGGTCTTCCTTTATAAACTCCACCATGTGCAAAATTGTATTAGGAAATGCAGTGTTTCAATCACCAAACACAAGCTTAAACAATAGACTTTGCTAAATATCTCTTCAGTTCTGAAAAGCGTGTTCTTAGTCATCAAGTTTCTTTATTAAATGATTGAAGATAAAAATCTTTGCTTCAGTTCTGCTATCTGACTTTAGGAGAAGAGATTACTGATATGACGTCCACTGTTGCCCACGTGATCACAGATTCCTTGTCATTTGAAATAATGCAAGAATACTGCCCGGCGTCAGTCATGGCGGCCTTCCTTATATGGAGTACTGATGAGGTCTGGTAGCAAAAGAATACAGAAAACTGTCAGTTAAGTTGCCAAGGCCAATTCTGAGCCTTACCGTAAGTTACAACAAGGCAGAAGTTTATTAACATTGTTAAATTGTGATGAAGAGTGAAGTCCGCCGGCTTGCTGTAACTATTTCCTGTTTCTAATGAATGTATACTTTTGAGCGAAGAGATTGGAGCCGGGGGGGTCGGAGAGAATCTCACACAAAAAGGACGGGGGTACTTGTCGGAAAATTTTGAAAAGAACCCCTAAAAGGTGCCAAGATCATGTTTTGTGAGCATGGCTTGAGGTACTGGAGGTACTCAGATGCCAACAATATACGCGGCCTAGCCCAACTCGAATCTGAACTTCCCAGGTGCCTTTCGACAGTAATTCAGTAAAAGCTTCTTCGTTTGAAAACGAATCCTTTGTAATTCGTGTTTGCCTCTTGTCAACGTTAAAACAAACGCTCGAATCAGATACTTTGTAACCCACTTCAAAAAGAATTATGAAAAAGGTTCCCTTTTCATATGAAAAGAAGTGCAATGAGAGACAATGAAATCGTTTTTAAAATAAAAATAACAGATTTTTTATTCTTTTTCCACCTTTCTATGTTATTTACTCTTTCCTAATTTTCTATTGTAATCCATTTATTAATAGAAATGTTTGTAATTAGATCTTGATAGACTGGCCCGCCTAGACTAGCGTTAGCCATCCGCGGGCCAATCTAACTGTGAAATTGTAAATTGAGGAACAAAAATAAAGATTGATTGAAGGGTTTTATCGTTTTAGACTTGTTGTTGTGTGGACGATTGGGGAAAACGCTTCAAAAGTTAAAGGTTGTGCGTTATCAAATACGTACATTACCGCAGACAAGTAAAAACGATCGTAAAACACTTGTGTGCGCAAACACGTCAGAAGCAAAACTGCGATTAGGTTTATGCGATAGAAGTGACTAGTTTCGTCACTACATTGTTGGGATGGTAAGGTAAAAGATAAAGTCTACATACCAGCCAAGTGGCCCATCAGGCCAGAGCTTAACCCGGTTCCTGTAGCGTGAAGCCACTAGGAGTATTTCTATTCACCTCTGGATGGGATGCTAGTCCATCGCAGGATTACCCCATTATTAAATTCGCCGGTACCCATTTATACACCTGGGTTGAGAGAGGCACTGTGCGAGTTAAGTGTCCTGTCCAAGAACACAACACAGTGACCCCAGCCTTGGGCTTGAACCCAGACCGCTCGATCCAGAGACGAGCGCACTAACCATAAGGCCACCGCGCCTCCCGCGTTGTTAGGATAGTTACTACAAATTATAACACTACGTTTGAAGGGAACCAGTCTGGGACTCACCTCTCCCTCTAAGCATCTGGATCTTCTGTACCAGCGATACTTAAGATTCTTGCCAATGACGTGACAGAAAAGCTTGCAATCTCTTCCTAATTGAACTGTGCATGACTCAGGGTGTTTTTCTATGACAGGAACTAAGGGAATATACGGGTTGAAAAAGATGGAAACTAATTCAAGTTTGTTTGGAGTAAAATAAACCAAAAAATCAATCTTCGCTGTTGGGGTAAATAAAACGTTGCATTAGCAAGAATTATACAATGATATTGCCGAAGTGAGAAAAAAAACAGGTATGATCTTGAAGACCTTCATGTTTAAGAGATTCCTAAGAAATCAATGCTTACCTACAGAGGGTTTAGCATTAGTGCAGTCAAATAAGCTACCTCGTGTAAAGGCTAATTACGTAATATCCCTTAATTTCTGCAGAAAAGTTAGACACCCCACTCGTGCTTGGAAAAAAGAACGGTCAACTCAGTTAATGGACTCTTGATGTGTGTATTTAGTCGCTAATCCGTAAATAATTCCTTTTCTACTGGTCTGAATAAATAATTATGGCGACATACAGTTGAAAGAGAATACAAACTGTCGGTGAAGAGGTACCCAGGACTTTCAAGAAGAGGACGATCTCCTGCAGTTCAGCAACGCTTTTTTGGGACTCTCGACAGCTGGTTCCTTTATGCTACACTTCAACTACTGTTAAGCATTTACTGCTTTGCAGACATATTTCAGTTTCTAAAGCTTGCGAACCAGATGGTCCAAACAAATCAGGACAAAACAACTGTTACAATAAAATCCAAACGTGCCAACGGACTGAAAGAAACAAATTTTGAGGACAGCCAGTTCGATTCCTAACACAAACCATGACAAACTTAGCCTTGACATTTACTTCCAGATAGGTCCATGCCAGGAACACGTAAGATGAACCCAAACAGTTTCAGAAATAACCGTGATTGAGAGATTAAGCAAGAGAACTGGGTGTTACTCGAGAGAAAAGCCTCTGGTAGTTCCACTATTAACATACACGTTGGTGTCGATGGAGTCTCCTTCAGACAGCAGAAAATGACTTTAATTCTGCATGCAACAATAGAGCCATGCAGGTTATTTTGCAGCGCTCCAGGCAATGCTGGCGTTCCTCTGCATATAATCCTGTTTGCTCAGTTTGCTGGTAACATTTAAGTCACGTTAACATTCATGCATGTGGTCTATTGAATTGCTCAAACAAGTCCTCGTGCAATCCATGTCATGAACACGGACTGGCGTTTAGAACTGGTTTAATTAATACAAGTCGGGCCATCGACAGTCATATTTAATTGGCATTTTACTATCGGTCTTAGTACAATATATATGTCTTTCCAAACGGCAGTTCTGACGGTAAAATTCTGTTTTTTTAGTCTGGGCTCAAAGAAGCGAGACACGTGGTGGCACTTAGGAAAACGGGCGACTTTCTGGTCAATCAGTGCCGGAACGTTCAGTCAGACACACCAAAATGATATTTAAGATTATTTTTGATTTAAATACGAGAATCTTTGAATTTTTTTTTTAACAAAATACAACAGACGCACTGCAGTAAACTATTACTTGAACGACATCAAATTAAAATCAATTTGTTTGTTAAAAGACAACTGTTAAATGATGTGGTTTTTCTCGTCATCAACAGGTGTGTTTGATGACATTACAGGTAAAGTAGTGTTAATTGGCGGGTGCGATCGATCGGCGTCATTTATACACACATGGCTTCTAAGACCTTTTGAAAATCTTCAATAAAGTTACGACAAAAGAACTTAATTCAGAGTTTGATGTTTTTAAAGTAACAGATGTGGAAAGACAGCTGGCATTGTAATGAGTATTCCTGAGTCGAATAAAGATCGATAGGGTGTATTTCGATCATAAAGCAAACTACTGAATCAAAAAATGACCACAGTCGAATCTTGAGCCGAACATCATTGAAATGAAGCTTCTTCAAAACAATATCAAAATGCGTGTTATTTCCTCACTTCACTAAACTATTAGTGGTTCGTTAATAACAGCCTTGAGTTCGAATGAGCTACTTCTACGGTAGTGTCATCACGAACGTGATATTGAAATACTGTATTCTAATATTTGCTGATACAAGTGCCTTTGGGTACGTGTACAGGGTAGGTAATGTTATCCCGCAACTTACCTTCGCTCAGTATGGAGGGCATCTTAAGCTTTGCTCTTATATAAAGTCTTACAGTCCTACTTTACTGTTCTGTCAAGATGCAACCGCCGCTCGCACCACCTGACTCTGTCACGCTTGGCTCTCCGAAAACCCAACATGCCCTAGGAGAATACAAAGCTGCTGGTATGTAGCATGTGCATTTGGTATTTTAGCGGGTTGTTTATTGGCAGAAAATTATTAAGGAAAGCAGCATATCAACAAACTTCCAACTCATGTGTCGTGCCTTTTCTGAAAAGAAGAGGCAACGGGCAATTTTTAGCTCGTCCTTCGATTCTTCTGTCTCCTCTTGTTGACAAAAACCGGATATCAAAGAAATTCCGGCAAAAATCTAATCGATGTACTGGGTAAAACATAAAGAAGGAAATAGTCCGTCAATGGCTTCGTTTTGCTGGCCTTGAATCATTGAACTGCAAACTACATAAGTTTTAAAATGTGCACAGTGCCAATAACGTCATCAAGAATTCGAAATACTTTATCAAAACAACTTGAAAATTGTTACCAGCTACCACAAAATCCGAAAATAAGCCCTGAGGCTTTCTTGACTGAATGATATTCCGAGAGGATTATTGTGGGAGGCATCTTCGCGTTTCCAATTTCTGCACTTTAATTTTGCAGCCTATGCATGGCAATCGATCACAGCTAGTTCTTTGACGGTCTTGACGAAGAGGCATCAATATTTGATTCCTGCCTGGCCTTGGGAGAAGCTGCCAAAAGAAGAAGAAAGTGAGACGCTGAAGTAAAAATACACCACACAGTAATAATTTAAACTTTGTTTTCTCCAACATAGCTCCCTTTAGTAGTTCGTATAGTGTGATCGTCCGGGTGAGTGTAGTTCTGAAAAGAACTTTTGTTGGTGACTGACGTTTCGACAACCTGAGCGGAAGTCATCTTCAGAGTCAAGTGAATAGTGTTTGTCAGTCGATGATC